AATCAAATAAACAGTTATTTCTTTGTGTTGCAGAAACAATCAATAATTCCTGGAATACCTTCCACAGTAGCACTGTCATGATGTAGATACATAGATATATGTAATGGTCATTCTTCAAATGATAAGAAAATACAACAATTAATATGCTTTTCTCTAATTTAGCTCTATAATCCCTTTCCTTCACATTTTGCTTTTTCTCTCATACTCCTCATATTTTCTTTTCCTTCCACTCACACCCTATCCTCTCATCATGATGTTCCTTCTTCCATGTCCCCTCTCTTCACCCTGCCCAGCCTCCTTTGTGTTGAGCATTAACAGCACCACCCTGTACACCAGACATTACAGCTCATCCTTCAGGCACAACACCCAGAGCCTTTCCTTCACTGTTGATTTGCTTCCATAAACTGCAAAGCAGTGTGTGGGTCCACCTGCCAATTTGGTTGTCTGAACATTAAGCTGAGGAATCTGAAAAACCTGCCATGGAAACTATTGGAGGAGTAATTTATCCACCACCCTGTGATGCCTTGGTTTCAGAATTATGGCCACGTGGTTTGCACATAGGACTGGGAACCCAGAAACTCCTGAGTGCCAGTAGTAGCTTTAAGTATGATTTTTCAAATGGATCCCAACAATTCATTAATCCTCTTTGTCTCAGATTATCCACAAAGATTGGTATCATAATGCTTTGCTCACCTTCCTTGCAGAATTTTGCAAAAAATATGTTTGAGTTTCATTTATTTCAAGGGGAATTATGCTGAAGGCAGACCTCAGCCCTTCTAAAGCAAAAATGTAAACCTCAAGTTTTATTATAGTCTTTAAGAGACACACACAAAGTCAAAAGTTGAACAGAAGGCTGTTACTCCCATTAAGAAGACATGTGACAGAAAAAAGCAAATAAGGAAAAGAAAGAACAGTGTTCCCTTTAAATTAGGATAAATTTGGGTGCCAAAATAGAAGATGGAGCAAGAAGATTCCTTCTTTCATGGGAGAGTACGTTAAGTGCTGAAAGCATTGACTACATTGTTCATGAACACTTCATGATTACTTAATGACTGATTACTCAGTAATGTTCCCAAGGTCAGTAAAACCTTGGGTATCTGTCATCCAAATGCCACTTCCATGAATTTAAGTGAACAAAATTGCAGTAACTTTTAATATCTGACATGTTTAGAGGCCATATCCCTTTATGATCTAGTTTATTTACTTAAGCATAGCCAAAATGTAACAAGAAAAAGAACTATTCATACCAAAAATGCTATTTCTAGAATTGCATTTGAGTTGCGTGGCATTACAATATAAATTATATCACAGAATCAGAGAATCATTCAGTTTGGAAAAGACCTTCCTCACAAGAGTATTAGAAAAATGAGTAATTAAAAATTCCAAATATACACAAGTATGAAATATACATTGTTATTGCCAAAACAAAGTTCTTATATAGAAACCAATTATTAAGCTTTACAACCCTTCAGATTTTATGAACTAAATCTACAAATTAATTGAGTGCCTAACTCCAAGTTTAGGTGCCTCAGGTTAACATTTCAGCAATACTGCAACCCACGGATCCCACTTATATTTGAGGGCAGAGCAGGAGATCAACAGGTAGGCACAGACTAGGCTGTGAAGCTGCTCACAGCCCTACCTCATGCCCACCCTGCTGGAAATCTCACATTCAGCATTTGGTGGGGGAGGTTAGGAGGGTGCAGCAGGGTCAGGGCACACATCTGTCAGGATTAGGTGCATTGGGAAATACATTCTGAAGTCTCCTCTCTGCCTGATTCATTGAAGGAACTTGAACCTATTCTCCTCTTTCTCCAGGAACTGGTCAAATGTCAAAGCCATTCAGTGTTTTGAAAAAAATCAGTCTCAATCTGTCCCACTACAGCTGCCTCACTTTGTATATTTCTTGGAACATACACATGAATCTGAGTCTCCCATATGACCACCTTAACTATCAGGATAGTTTCACAGGCTCTGATTCCCACTGAGGAAGAATAACTTCAATAAGACGTACTTGCTCAAAAATATGCTGTAGCCTGAGATATTGGAAATGTATGCTCATATATAGCTCCAAATCAGACAAAGTACAAACATAGTCTGAATACTTGCCTGCTATTTTTCATTCTCCAGAAAAAATAAAATGAAATAAAATAAAATAAAATGAAATGAAATAAAATAAAATGAAATGAAATGAAATAAAATAAAATAAAATAAAATAAAATAAAATAAAATAAAATAAAATAAAATAAAATAAAATAAAATAAAATAAAATTTCTCTATCCTAACATGTGACACACTGGTTTTCAAGGGATTTCATATTGCTTCATGGGAAATTATATACGGAGGGAACTCCACTAAATATTCTGAGGAGAAAGAGTACACCATCCCAGCATTGTGGAACTGGGGTCCAACCAAACTATACACTGAACCAGAGAAGCGACTTCTTGGTCTAAGCACCAAAAAGCAGGGGGGAAGAAAAAGACAAATAAGCACTGGTCAGACCTTGAGCAAGCTAAGCATGGGCAATTAGTTCTTCACAAAATGGTACAGAAAAGAGCTTGCATACAAACAGTGTAACAGCCAGTTTGGGAGCCACCTTAGGTATGTTAAGTATTCCCTGAGTACACCAAACCACCTCCAGAATAATCTTACTTCCTACGAGGCCCAGGTCAGGAAACTCCAGTGATTGCAACAGGAAGAGGTTATCTTGTGGTACACTGAACCATCTCTGTCTTTAAAAGCTGCCCACACAAGAAGAACTTGTCAGCAGCCTTCCACTAGTAATAATTTGGTTGTAAACAAGAAAATTTAACCCAAGCTTGGCCTGAGTGACACAAACCATTTAGTGACAAAGGTTTAGGTTCTCTGCACTTAACCTTTCCTAAGATAAAGGAATAAATGCACTTACACCTTTGGCCAACACAGCCCAGTGCCAGTTCACGAGTGTCTCCTAACACATGGAAAGCCTCATGCTGCACATACCAGACAGCAATAGCAAGAGGTGCTTGCCTTCATGATCAATATTCCAGTATTCATGGGACTGGGGATTGTTAACAGTGGCGTATGAGTGTGTACCTGGTCATAAAAAATTAAATCATTCTCAAATGCCTGTTCTTTCCCTGCCAAGCGCATGATAATCCACATGGAAATGACATCTGCTCTAAGGTCACTTCAGTGGAGAACACCATCTTGTGACCACCCTCACCTTAAATTTGGGCTTGTCTACACATGGAGTTTTTCCTGATTAATTGCTCTTGATTAATGTCATGTGTGGCCACTGCATCCACATGCAGCCCTGCTCAGAAATAGCTCTAAGTGTAAACAAGCGCTTATTCACAGCAGGAGTGCTAACAAGATCAGGAGGAATGGCCCATGCCCAGCACCTCTTGGGACTGATGCTTCTTAAGCAATACAGTGTAAGACATTCCTCAGTCAGTGGCTCCAGCCACTGACTCCACTCAGAATATGCACCTAGCAGGATGTAAAGCACAGTCCCGGGTACTTTTTTAAAAGCCAGTGATGTAGGTTAATGGTCTCAACTAAATATTCACTGTTCTGACAGATATTCCTGACCTCACAGAACTGGAGGATCCATAGGAGTTAGTCCCAAACTTGTTCAAGCTTTGCTGATTTTGGCCAAGCAGCAAAGAAAGGGGCTCCAGCTGACTGCCTGAAGCAGAGGAGGCTGCACTTCCCTCAATATCAATCCCCAAAATCCCTTATTCCTTGGTAGTCACTGAATCTTGCAGACTTCTTACTTCTTTGCTGTGGTTTTAAGCTCTCATTCTCCCTTGAATTGTTTTCTCTCCACATATTTCTGATGCACAAAGACATCCTTCTTTCTCAGCAAGTTTTGGTTTGGTTTGTTTTCCCCTCCAAGTTGGTTCAATTATATATTATTATAGAGAGCCAAACCATTATTACTCCAAGTGCCACAATTCAAAAGTACTTTCTTGATCAATTATTTACTGGTTTTGTTTCTGCTGAGTACCTACACTCAGTTCTGTCATTGAAAAGAATTTAAAGAATAATACTCAACAGAAGTTATTAAACTAAGGTCACCTAAGCACTTCAGTTTTCTTATTTATAGACACAAACCTAAAGAAGTACTTATATTTTCTTACTAAGATAAAGCATATTTGGATAGAGATCATAACTGCTGAAACTTTATTTTCCATGTTTCATCTTAAAATATTTCTGGTTTTATAATGATTCAGAACCTGAACATTTCATTTTACAGCCATTAATAATCATAATAACAAACCTGCAAATATAAACCAGTGTGATATTACCTACATTTTCTTCATTTTTTAAAATCTTATTTGCTATGTTTTGAGTGTTTAGCTTTTCTGGTTTCTAGGGAGGGGTAAGTGCAGATGAGGGTTTAACTGCCTGTTTATTTCATCTGGAAAATGATATGTCTGTTGTTAGATGTGGCTTTGGAATTCTCTTTTAACAGCATATCACTTGTTTTAGACCAGGTGTTGACTGGTCAAATTACAGGAACATGAAGTATAATTTGTACTTGTCACACAGGCAGCCTTTTCTTAAAGGCATTAAGTACTATCTTTTTCACCTGATTCAGTGAAAAGATATCTAAATGTGTGGTGGGTAGTTACACCCTCTCAGTGTGCCTCCACCCACATCACCCTGCGGATGGTGCTTTGTTATCTCAGCACTGGAATCATGCTGGACCCAGCTGGAAAAGAGGCAAAGAAAGTGATGTGGGAGGGGCAGCACTCTTAGAAACCATTCCTGGTTTTGTAAATAGGAAAAAGCAATTTTAATTCAAGATGATGTAGTTTCCAAGTGATTAAGCCAGAGAAAGATGATTTATTTTTTCAGTAGAATTGGAAAAGGCATGTAGGAAGTCACTAATGCACTCATGGGTCCAAATTGCCAGACAGGGGCCTAACACCATACTCCTAAAATCTCAGGCTAATTTTATCATTAGCCACACATTTGATATTTTAAGCACAGATAAGTCAATCGAAAGTATTGGTATTGAGGCCACTTTATTTCCAATTTGAGCAGTTTGGGGAAAATCAGACTAAGTTTAGTCCAATCCCCTGAATTGAGCATGTGTTGCCCCAGGCATTTCCAAGTTGTTCAAGGGTTGCATTACAGGCTTGGACCATCACCAGCTGTCAAAGTTGTTTTGGTGTACAAGCAGAGCAAAGCTTCTGGTTTAATTTATCTGAAAAGAAGCAAAATTTAGTTAGCTCATACCAAAAACACTTTCCAAACTAAACCAGAGATCTGTAAGTGGAGACAATTGGGGAAATAACTTCAAAACTGCATTGCAACTCCAACCTGGAATACCATGCATAGCCTCAGGCACCTGAAAAAAGAATCTTGATTTCCAAAGCAGCTAAGTGCCAAGAATACCCAATTACTGTTTACCTTACAAAACAAAAACATAACATTAAGATACATAACAATGGCCAATTAATTATTTTTAATTCCCATGTAATAGAAATATTGAAGTTTCATCTATTATTTCTAATACCTTGTAGGATAAATTATTGAATTACAACTCCTAAAATGTGTTTAGAACAGGGAATGTGAAGCCAAATATTCAGGCCAAAAGCTACAAAGGTCTAAGGCACCAAGCAGCTGTGTAGATGGCCAGCTCACATTGAAATCACTCAATCTCAGTGAGGTGCCTAAATAACATTGTGCCTCCTGTCTCCTTCTCCACCAAATAAACTAGGACAAATAATCTTATATTTCTAGGGTTAGATTAATGGATCTTTGCTTAGACAGTTATATAATAATTTTGCACTTCACTTCAAATGCAAAAACAACTGGGAGACTTTCAGACTGTAGATAAACTAATAATACACACTGCACTTCTAGTTTGTTATTCAAGGGATGTTACACAAAGCGGGGTTGATTTTGCAGCTACTGCACTTGGGCAGTTCCTATTTGGGGCAATGGGCACTTGTGTGGGAAGAACTGCTGTGGAAGCAGTCCCCATAATGCACTTATTGACAAGATTAATCCTCAGTTTTCCTTCAAAGGGATTGCAAGCTGTATCACTGTTCCAGTGATCTTAGATGGTTTCTGTGTATTTTCCCATATGGTTTTAGCAAGAAGTTTTAAAAAGTTATATGGCAAAAGCTTGATTAAAAAGAAAATAAAATCTCTAAATTGGGTCATATGTAGGACATTCCTCTTGATAATCTCTCTGTATTATAGAACAGCCTCACAATTTAAATAGAAGTCAACCCAATTTACAAAATTGGATTGGACAAAACACTAGAGAACATGTTACAGTATAGGGAGTCATCATGCATACACAGTGCAGATGCACTACTGAATGACCTAACTTGCCCATTTGCATCTCTAATTTCTATGATATAATCTCCATTCCACACTGCAATTATTAGAGAAAGAAATTAATTTCTTGGTTTCAAGGAATTTGGTAAAGGAATAGAGGGGTGAAGAGAGGAAATAGAATTTTGCAGAGCCATGATTCCAAAATAATTCAGAAAGGAAAAATCCTGTATAAAAAGAGGATAGAAAGTTATGGAAGAGAATTGACATTCAGCATGCTGTTAAAACTCTACATTACTAGAATAGTGGCAACAAAGTCACTCCTTGTTTATATTGTGTTCCAACTGTTTTGTTCTCTTCCACTATTCTTTGCCATTTGTTTTTATATTTACTGTTCCATATACCAATTAAGAATTCCTAGCAGGTCTTCAAAGCAGTAGAAATTTAAATTAGATTACAAAAGACCTCAAAAGCAGAATGAGATTTTAAATGGATCATTGAAAGTAACTGCAAAATTCTTTTATCAGAAGGGGGGAAGGTAATACTTTTTAAGAGTGCCTTAAAATTAATCCAAAACGAGTGTTACTTATTTTCAGCATGTCAGATTTGGAAGGTCTACTCAGAGGTTAATGTGAAAGTGAATGTAAAAATATTTTAAGCTTTTTATTCACCAAACTAGAATACCATGAAATGAAAACTTCAGGAAACCAAGGTGGTATCAACAGCACCAGCCATAAGGAATACAGTGCCCTAAAGTGTATTCCATTGAGGTAACTGAATTGGGGTGCAAGTTGTTCAGGATAAGAGTTGCTGCTTTTCCTTCTGCCACATGGAATAGTAAAAAAGGTATCCAGCTGCACATTTCTTGAAGGAATCTGCATTTCTGCCCTGCAGTTACTGTGTTGTATAAGCTGGCAGAATAGGTGGTCCAACCTTTCCCCCACACTACCAAACTCCCATCTTTGCCTTCTGTCCTATGATGGCATGATGGTCATATGTTGACCAGAATCACAGCTGAACTTGCCACATTTATATCTCTTATTTTTCACTAGCAATAGCCAACAAGTAACAAGCAAGGCAACCTTCAAAAATTGCAGTGTCTGCTGTTTGGGACACAGTGGCCTTGTCTGCACCAGTGTTTTTTTCTGGAGTTTCTGAGGACTGACAAGGCTGGTCAAACCCCATCAGTATCAGGGATGCTCAGTGCACAGCTGCAGATGGAGCTCTCTAGACAGGGACTGTTTCAACTCCATCCACATTGCCAAAAGTTAAACAGGAGCTGTGCCCCACCCATTACCAGTGCTTCACAGTCATAAATTTAAAAAAATAATAATAAAAGAAAAAGAAACAAACATCTACATCAAATCCCCTTAAGGAAGAAAGTGTGTCCCTTCCTGTGAAAGGCCTCAAAGAATCTCTGCTCTCGGGTGCTGCACCACTTCCCACACACTGTCACAAGTCTCTAGTACTTGGTGCCGTTATTTTCTGGCATCAGGTGATCTCAAATCCTTCCTTTTTTCTAAGTAATTTTCCATTCCTCACACCTATGAAGAAGAGTTTTATAAAGCTGATTCACCTAGAGCTAGGTGATCCCTGTGCACAGTTTCAGCTCGTTCCATGGGCCCAGCCAAGAGACTCACCATGTAGGACCTCAACTCACCTCCAGGCTGACAGTTCCCAGCTCATGGGGACACCACATCCCAAAATGTGCACAGACACCTGCCCCAACAGGCACAGCAGCAAGGGGCACTCAGGCAGGTGCTGGTAGCCAAGGTGGTGGCCAGGGAGAGGAGGGCAATCCACTTGAGGATTGAGGAGTCATGGAGGCTGTTGTGTGAGGCCTGAGAAGAGGCACCAGGGATGAACAAGGCTGGGGTGAGGCAGCTGTGAAGTGGCAGGCAGAGAGGAGCCCAGGCTCATGCACCTGATAGACCTGCTGTCTGAGAGAAGCCTCTCCTCCAGGCAAAACAGAAACCTAAGGAATTTTTCTGAGGGACAAGGTCACAGCTGCTGATCAGTCAGTATCAAATTTAGTCACACAAGCATGAGATCATAGGGTTAAAAGTGAACCCTCACCAAAGCCTAAACTGGGGTGTAGGTATATGGGTGCATTATTGCTGAGGAAATTTCATTTCTCTATCTTTTTTTCTTCAGCTCCTGAGTGGCTGAAAGAACTGCTTCCGCAGAGATTGCTACTTGTATAAAACACAACAGTCTGCTGAAATAGATTTAGTTTATAAGGTAGCTCTCCATCACTGCCGAGCAGTAGTACAGACGTGAAAGTCACTTGTAGAGAACACCAAAAAACAACACTCATAGCAACAAAATCTTCTGGGTCAACAAACAAAAGTTTGTGAAAAGAAAAAAGGCTTTGATGTCAGTTCTTTGGATTTTGAGCAATTTTGTGAAGTGGTAATGGGGAACCAGGGGATGTTACTTAAACAGTGCAAAGGCTTTGAATAAAGAGTGTTCACAAAAGGCTACCAAGGAAAGCCAGTTGTCAGGAGGAGAAGAGTGGGTAACACCCTGCCAGTCATGGATGCAAATCCAGTTAGGGGATAGCACACAGAGGGAGAGCAGGAATAATTGCTTGGTTTTCTTCACAGCATTTAAGTAGTGGGGTGCCTCTAGGATCAATACAAAGTGACATTGTTTAATGTACTTATTGGGGCCTACTAGAAAAGCTGCATCCATAAGAGCAGTGGGCAAGACGAGGCTGGTGAGGCACCTTGGTAAGCCTTGACAACACTAAGTAACTGAGTAATGCATCAGCAAAGGGAATGCAGTGCAGATGAGTGCGCAGTAATGCACCTTGGAATGCATGATTTAAACTACTCATATACACAGATGGGTTCTGAATTAATTGTAACCTTTCAACAAAAAGATTGAGGCATCAGCATGGACAGCTTAATGAAGATGTCTGCTCAGTGTGCTGCAGTGGTCAAACCCAGAAAATAAGCTGTAATAAAAGAAAATGGATGACAGAAGGAATTCTAGTATGATTATATAAAAAATATTCATAGAAAATTTCAGTTATCCAACCTCAGAGGGATGCAGAAGAGAAACCTGCCTAGAGAATAAACCAAATGAACTTGTAGAGGTCAATCATGCCAAGTGCTGCTTATGTCCTGAGTTACTGACTGCAGTGCATCCTAGAATCTCAGCACCTCAACTGAGTAGATTGATGACTTTTAAAGAAAGAGTACATGAACTTTTGCTCAATGAAGGATGGAATGTATATGGCACATGGCATGCTTATGTACCTTGTTCATAATAAGGAAACATGTAAAAGGACACAGTCTTTCAATGCAGCCTGTAACTAATCTGTAGAAAACTGGTCATAAACTGTTACTGTGGTAAATAGCTTTGTTTACCACCAAAGCCAAGGAGACTTAAACATACATAAAAAAAGAAAGGAAACACAGCCTCTCTGCTTATGTAAACAGAGTCAGTCCATTAACTGTTGTAATCAGTCGAACTGATTATACAAGCCACGGAGGTACAATTTCATCAGTTGTACAGAAAATAAAAATGACAAGAGCCTTCAATTTCCAGTGTTCAAGAGTCGGCAGGGCAGACAGCATTAAGACAGAAATCCCTCAGATTTATGTCTCCACCAGTGATGATATAGCTGGCGAGTTGCTTCATATTAAAGTTTTGTCCTCCCAGTTGTAGCCATGAGGGAACCCTTCTTCAGGTATTGTTGAACGCCAGATGCATCATGAGCTCTCCAGAAGACATTAATGTTGCCATAGCTAGTTAGGCGGATACAGAATTTCGTGTACCAGCAGCTTTTCCTGTGCTATGAATACCTGTCTTCAGGCAAAATGCATGCAACTGAATTTCTTATGTCCTTTTAGCTATTTGTTCTCTCTGAAATCAAGTTCCCTTGTGCTGTGCAAAAAAAAACAAAAAAAA